AAAGTCTGTCTATTTCTCAATAGCTGTGGCTGAGCCTACTGGCAGACCCCCAGGGCCCTCCAGTGATGGGAGCTGGCCTGTGAAAGAGCGAGCAATTCCCGCAAGTTGTGGCTGGTTGTATTGGTTTGGAGGGAAAGACCCAGGGGGCCTTTAGCAAGGCGAGCTGGCCAAGAAAGTGTGTCAGATTCTTGCTAGCTGTGGCTGGGCATATTGGCAGACCCCCAGGGCCCTACACTGGTGGGAGCTGGCCTGGGAAAGAGCTAGCAATTCCCACAAGTTGTGGCTTGGTGTATTTGCGCAGAGAGAAAGACCCAGGGGGCTTTTAGCGAGGCGAGATGGCCCAGTTAGTCTGTCAGATTTACGCTAGCTGTGGCTGGGCATACAGGCAGACCCCCAGGTCCCTCCAGCAATGGGAGCTCGCCCAGGGATGAGCAAGGTTTCCTGCTAGATGTAGCTGGGATTTTGGCAGACCTGCAGGGCCCTCCAGCGAGGCGAGCTGGCCCAGAAGATGTGTCCAATTCCCGTCAGCTGTCGCTGGCTAAGCAAGGCATACTCAAAACTCCTAATACAATTTGGTGGTAGAACTATGAGCGGTTGTAGCACTGCAGCCATCTCAGAATTTGAATATAGCTATAGCCAGGTGGTAGAAGTGGGAGAGGTTGGTGCACCAGAACCAATTCCAAACTTGAATGCTGTGACTGATAGGTCCTTTAGGTCACTAACGCCACGTCTAGCTGGTGCGTTTGTTTAGCCAAGTCTGTGTTCCCGGGCTTAAGTGTGGGGTGCCCGGCACTGCTGGAAAACAGGTGTTCTTCTAGGGACCTCTGCAGAGATTGTGCTTGCCCTGGAAAGAGTGACTGATCACTGGGCAAGCTTTGGCCGGGTAAGAGCCCCTTGAAGTCAACTCATAGGAGGGCCCCTGGCAGCCAGAGCCAAGCCCCAGATGAGTGACCAATCCCTGGGCAAGCTTTAGCCGGGCAAGAGCAAGTGGAGGGAGTCTGGGGAATAGTGGCTCTTACTAGTGAGTGTCTGGAGCGACAAAGCTCCAGTTGGAGGTTGGTGGGTCTTAACTTGTGGGTTTGCTTAACAGAACACGCTCTACACTTGAATTGTTGACCCAGACCCCAAAACACCAGGCCATGCCCAATGGGAGGCTCCCTTTCCTGGCCTACCTGTTGGAACATCTTGCGCCTGGAGGTATGTGCCTGAAACCATTTATCTCTGACCTGCCAGCGGAATTTTCAGTCGAAAAGCAGAAATGGGTAAGAATGATGATTTCCCCATTCTGGTTCAGTCCTGTCAAGTGTGCACACCCACAGCAAAGAGCTGTGCAAAGTTCCACATGGCTGGCACACTGAAGCTGCCCAAATGGTGCGGTTCAATGGTTTTATGGTTCTTTTAAAAGAAAAGAGAAGCCATGCAAAGGCTCACATTACTGGCGCAGTAAAGCTGCCATAAAATGGTGCCTGTCAGCGGTTCACAAGATGCTAAACTCAGAGGAGAAGAGGCCTTTGCTCTCGCTAGCTTCTGGCCGTGTGGACAAGCGAAAGACGATATGTCTGGTGCCCGGCTGTCGGAGGACGCAGGCCTGGCTAGACAGGCACCTGAAGCAGCACGCAGAGTTCTCTGCCTCGGCCTAAAAGGAGGCCATGCGGAAAGCAAAGTGCTGGAAGGTGGCCCAGGAACATCGGTGGCTGCAGACCACTCAACCAGCGGTTTCTGTAGTGTCTCGGCTAGGACTATCAGAAGAGGACCAGGAACGAGATGACCCCAAAGCCAAGTGCTACATGCGCATCCAGGCCCAGTTGTCAGACCTAAGCATACAGGTAGAAGGGGTGAGGTCTACCATGGGTGAAGTCACGCGTCAAAATAACAAGACGTCCAAGCTGACAAGGATCAATGTGTTCCTTGGATACATGGTGAAGGGCATCCCGATCACATTTAATCTGTTTTTAATCATTTTTATTAACTGTTTTTATTTTATTTTACTTGTCTTTTTTTATTCCTGTTTACATAAAGCACTTAGAATTGCCAGGGCGTATGAAATGTGCCATAGAAATAAACTTGCCTTGCCTAAGTTACCATCATCTTCATAATTTCTTGACTCCAAACCCATTCTTGAAAATCCCAGCATAGACCTTCAATAGTCATTTTCTTCATCGGGAGATCGAGCCATTTTGCAGCTCAACAAAAGCACTTATCCTGTGTGAGCTCTGAGCTAAATCTGCGTCATAGCTAAAACAGTTTCAATTCTTTTTCTCACCCCCATGACGAGAGTAATCATGTATGACATTAGACACACTGTGCTGAAAGTGGTATTGCCTGTTATGAAGCTCCAGTGGCCATGTCCAATCATAGACATAAAGTCATGTCATCGGCAGGGGTGAAATAATGCAATAATAACAAACGCAATAATACACAGCAAAGCTTTTTTACTGAACTTATTAGACACTCAAAGTCTCTCAAAATCCTGGGAACTATCCGGGAATTGATAAAGCTATTGACAAGGATCATTCCTGATTTACATTTCACATGTTCTGATTAAATGAAAAATATTTCATCACAATATACGATATATCACAATATCAACAAACTTTTTACAAGTTACTTTATTAGGAGTAATTAATATATATATATATATATATATATATATATATATATATATATATATATATATATATATATATATATATTATTTAAATCTGGTTGTTCAAACTACTTATCAAAATAAGCCAAATCAACACAATTCTTGTTTTTAAGCTATTAAATTAAATTGGCAAAAACATTTAGGTTAACTTTATTGATTTGTGTTGAGTCAACATAAAGGAATTGTGTGGAATGCAGTATATTTTATCATGTTGTTGAATATAAATGCTTTTGTAAACAAATATTTCAAGAAACAATTGAAACATTACAATGAGGTGTCATTAGTGAATGTTAGTTAATGCATTCAAATCAGCAGTTACCACCCTGTAAAGCCCAATAAGTTAATGTAACTCAAACCATTTGAGGAAACCAATTGCAACAAACTAAGTTCAAAAACTAATCCTAATGAGTACTGTGAACTTAATCCATTTGAGTAAACGAAGCAATTTGAGCACAGTAAAACCCAATAAATGAAGAGAACTCAAACCAACTGAGTACTGAAAACCCAATAAGTTAAAGCAACTCAAACCGCTTAAGGAAACCGACAGTAAATGAACTAATGATAACGATTTGAACCTTTTTGTACAGTCAGTGTTAATGAAGGGGTCTATAAGGGGTCATTGACTTCATGGTAGACCAGATAAACATGAAAAGTTGAAACATATTAAATCTCTAGTCTGTATATTCTTAAAAAGACTGTAACAGTTTAAACATACATAATTACTCAATCTGTCCCCCCTCCCTTGATAACAATATCACACATACATGTTCATAATCACGATATATGTTGTATTATTGAACATTAGCACATGTCCAGCAGTATTAAAAGAAAAACAATATATTCATAACTCAGGTTTAGGATTCCTAATTGTCATAATACATACTCAGGGACAGCGGGAGAATAAAATATGTTTATTAAAGATGTTTATTAAAGAAAAAAATGAAACTTGTTATAGTACTTACGCATTTATTGATTTGATTTCTTCCATTGTCCTCACTTGTAAGGGGGTTTGGATGACGGCATCAGCTGATAGATAATACAATTTAATGTAATCATGAAGACACCAACATGAAAAGAGAAGAGCTCAGATCCTGACATTAAGAAGAACACAGGCAGACAGCAGCACAAAAGCATACAATTCGTCACAAGGTGAACAAAGTTAGTGCAAACAATAAGTAAGGGTGTACTTTTTTATACATATTGAAGAAAGATGACGTTTTTTAAGCAACCATACACTTGGGAACAGTCGAGAAACCAATCAATTAAGAAAAAATACAAACTGACTACAAAATGACACACCAGACAGGAAGTGAACTAAGAGTTCACATACAAGACAAGGACCATGAACATATATAACTAAATAAATAAATAATAAATGTGTGTAATCTGCCATTTTTGCACTATTTCTAAATGCTGCATATATGACATTTTAATATATGTAATATCCAAATATGAACTTGTATATATTTCCACATATATTTCTACATTGTCATGATTATTATACACTTTCGTACAAACTATAGGCAATATTCAGCTGTTTTTAACAAGACAAAACACAAGTCTGTGCTAGAGCAGTTCAGAAACTTGCATCAATTCAAATGTGCGGATCGATTGTGTTCAAGAAATGCAAAGACCAGAGAGTGCTTTTAGTCACGTTCCCACAGAAAGCCCTTTACAAAAATAATGTAGACGCTGCCATCTGCTGGAACAAGAGTGATTTACTGTGTGTTTTCTTGATAAACTACATCCAAAACAACTGCATAAAAACCTGTAAGTAAATTAATGTACTACTAAACATCATGTCGGAGCATATACATGCTGCTGTGGTCCTTTATGGAAAGTAGGAGCTGTGCTGGATCACCTTTATTTAATCACAATAATTAAACAAAGAAAAACCAGGATCCTCCCTTCGCTATAATTCTTAGCTAGAGTTTAGTTAAATGATCGTCTTTATAATGTATTTTACAAAATAATTAATTAGATTCCTTCTTCACCACACAGGGTAACTTTGATGAGTTCTGGAAAATGAAATCAATGTCCACTCCAGTAAAGAAAAGTAATAAAATACACGTTTATTAATAAAATAAAATCCAGTGGAAAAGTAGAATAAACAAAAAACCAATAACAGAAACAAAATCCTTACTTTATGCTCCGTTGAGGATAAAGGGCAACCAACCTCAGTGTAGAGAAGTCAGAAAGCGCAAAGCTGGTCAGAGCGGCTCAGCTTTAATACACTCAGAATCAGGTCATGCACATAACCACACCTCATATATCAGTGAGGACTTGACATATTCAATACAAGTACCCAAACACTATTTTGGGTTTTACCTGCTACATCAAACACTAACTATATTCTTCCAGCCGAGCTACAGTAGGTGGCGTTATCAACTTTACTACTCTGCTCTCTAACTCAACATACTGCCAGAAGAAGAAGAAGAAGAAGAAGGAAGATATACGTGGCGTATTTACTGTGCTCCGTGTCCAGTGTTTATGTAAAAAAGCCATTGTTCAGTTTATGCACATTTAAAATAGGTGTTGTATGAAGATTATTTTATATCTCATTTAGAAGAAAAGGTGTGGCATATTTAGTGAGTCGCGCCACCGCGAATCAGTTCAGTTAGGAATCAACCAAATCAAGCAAGCGTTCGCGAATCAGTTCAGTTCAAGTCAACCGAATGATAAAAACGAAAGTGAATCAGTTCAGGAATGGCGATGTGAAAGCGGAGGTCCTACAATCTCATCTTTTACGGCGTAAAACAGTAAACTATCCACTCGTTCTGTAGCACCTTCACTTTGTGAACTGCAGAAGGGTGTATGATAATCTGGATTGACAGCGGATGGTTTTTAATAACGCTTATAGACGGTGCCGAAGTCTCGCTCGTGACGATCCTTGCAAGTGCGTCAATGAAAAACGTGAGTTTCACTCGACAGTACATTATATTATATTAATATGATTGTCAGTTACTTGTGTTTAATTGATGTACAACTGCTGCATTGTTGATTGTTATGTTTGAGTATATAATTGCCCACATTACTACTATCTACATTCATATTGTATGGATATGACTCAGCACATTTATAGTGCTAGTGGTGTCCATCATACGATGATTCCAATTATTACTGATCACATTAATTTGTTCATTATAGAACCACACATGTGCAAGAGTCGTATGAAGCAGTATCATAATTATTCAGCAACATTTAGTACCGGCTGGAATTTTTGCCCTTCTCATCGCGGGAGGATTCATTGTGCACCAACGGCCCTGAGACTGTAGCTAAAAGACCAGCTTCATTCAACCTCCTGGTATCTGAACGTGTAGAAAGGACTTTTTATAATAGTTTTCTTTATTATTGATTTGTAAGCAATCAGCATTATTCTTTCATACTATTGTGAACCTTTTTATTTCATTATTATTTGCTCAGGCCTACGCTTTTTTGATGTATGTTTTTGTTCATTTAAATAATATTTTTATTTGAGAATTAATATATCCTATTTGAGTAAACACCTACAATTTAGTACGTCTGTGTTTTTTTCTTTCATGGTTATTGGACATTAATAGTGTTAATATACATACTGAGACGATTGGCACCGTAACAGTTACCAGTGCAACCCAGTTCTTCATAACAGTTTATACTGCTTCAGGTAAAGTCACTTAACTAAACCCCTACATGTCTTTTGATTAAAAGTAACTGCCTGCATTTCCTTTGGGATCCTGTATGTCTATATCTGCTCTGTTTAGGGTGTTTGTGGCGGATGTTTTTCACTGAACTCGTGACGCAGTTGTGCTGAAATCTGTAATCAGAGTCGCTGTACAGTGAATTAAAGTTCTCCAATCAACATGTTTGCTCAATCTTAGCATTAAAACATCATTTACTGCGCCACTCGACGAGGATCGCTTGATTTTCGATCGTTTGTTCGCGCAACCAAGGCGTTCCCGAGTTAATATTTTACTGAACAGCGCCCCCTGGCCACAGTATTCGGCACTTCACCGCCCTTCATAAACGAAAGTGAAAGGGCTTCATTGTTGTGTCGCCATTTTAAACAGACAGAATCCAGCATTTACAACGCAGAACAACTTTAAATCTTTAATGTCTTCACAAAACATGTAAGGTTATATATATATATATATATAATTTTATCATAATCAAATGAATAATGACTGTACGGTTTTTCTTTTGTTTACTCGTGTCGATCTTCGGATTTCGTTTCACAGCTGCTGATCTATTCCTGCTGAATTCAGCTCAATGATGAAGGCTGATCAATGACTGCACATCTGTGATTGTTTCTCAGTGTCTGCTATAGTTTCTACTGGACATCACACTCTACACATCCATCATGGAGGACACACACACTTCTGGAGATCAGGATTTGTCTACAGGACACAGGTATTAGACCAACACATTACATTTATTACTTCGATTGTAACAAAAAAGATACTTGATAGTTATTTGTGGGTAATTTTGTCTATGATAACGTAACGCAAGAGTTTTTGTACTAATATAAATTAAATGATATAAAATGCAGCGCTGAACTTTAATCTGAACTGTTTTAGATCATATAAGAGGAGGAGAGCAGAAGCAGAGCCCAGCTGTGTGTCTCTGAAGAGTGACGCGTCTATTGATAATAAAAGAACTAATTTTAGGAGTGAACACACACCACCTGCTGTCCTCAGGTAGATCATGTCTATTAGATCTGCAACTAATGATTATTCCCATAATAAATGAGTCAAGTGATTTTTTTCATTTATTTGAGATTAAAAGGTGAGATGTTGTATCTGAGCTCTGCAGGATAGTGTCTCTCCAGGGTTGAAGATCTCCTGCCATAAAGGGCTTTTCCTGCACACTTTCCCCTGCTGTTTCTGTGCTGTACTGATCAGCCATTCCTCTGATCTGAGTCTGTTTTCACTGAAGCGCAGTCATCATCATGTTGTGTTGGCCTCATAGATGCTGCTGATCAACACATTTGGTTTCTAGAATTGATATTTCTCGAGTTCTCCTGCTCATTCAGTCATGATAGATGATGGTAAATGAACTTGTCTTGCTGTCCTCAAAGTCTGGACTGGAGCTCTGCAGACAAACCCCCGATGAGTGACCTTCTGAAGACTGAGTGATGAGGAGGAGGATAAGGGGAGCTGCTGGAGGCGGGAATAACAGTCAGCTGACACAGTGCAGTTTATACTGCTGCTTATATAGTCATGTGATGATGATTGACACGCCTGCATGATTAAGCTCCTCCCACACCACTTTACATAAATAAACATGATCACTCCATAAACAATTTAAATAATAACCTTTTATATTAAATCTTGAATTTAAAATGCATTTAGCAGTTTTGTATACGCTATTATTTTTAAGATGAGCTTATAAATTGTTATAAACTGTTACAAAACAAAGTCACACTTTATTTGTGCCTCAGATTCACTGTCAAAAATAAATAAGCACTAAATATAAATGCATGTATATAAAATAAAGATGTCACTCTGTGAAAAGGTATTTATTTTAATTTAACAGCCGAAATGCAAAACAGACTTTGATTTTAACTTACACTGGGAAAAATGCTTTAGAAAAAGCCACAGTAAAAAAAGCAAACCAGTTTACAGCAGGACAAAATGTTTTCATTATTAAAAAACCATAACAATGAAAACAAAACTTTCTTATATTATAATGAATTGAAATTATATGTTGTAGATATTTTGGTCAGTTTTAATGCATTAATGCAGGCAATTTAAAGCTGGACCGACTGACGCAATAGACATGATGTATGTCGCGTTTGTTTAATCTATTATGCATGCGAAAACTTACTTGTAAACCAAATATGTTGCCGGATTCTTTCATGGGCATGAGAGATAAAGTGCTTATGAAGTGCTTCGTCGGCCTCTGGTCGTTAACCGATGCAGAGCCGACGTTTGATGAGCTGGAACAATAGAACACACGACCGAATGAACATGCGTATGTTTGGCTGACCATATATAGATGTTAGAATTAAAGGGGCCGACGTGTTGACCTTCAGCCGACATCGGCCCAACATATGTGTGCTGTCTGGGGATATTATATTTACTCTCTGTTAGTTGTGTTTTTAATCTGTCTGAATATTTAACACACTCAGTCAGCAAGATTGTGTACAATCATCATGAAAAGTATCATGAAGTGCTGTTTAAACAGTGTTTTAATGATGAAATGTTGAGTAAATCTGCTGTGTTGACTCCAGTGTGTGCAGCGCTGAACTTTAATCTTCTCTGTTTTAGTTCAGTTCATCAGAAGAGAGCAGAAGCAGAGCCCAGCTGTGTGTCTATGTGTGTCTAACATTTAAGAGTGAAAACACAGGAGCTGCTGTCAGGTAGATCATCTCTTTAATATCTGCAACTGATGAGTATTTTCATAATAAATGAATCAGGTAATTAGTGTTGTGGATCTGTTGGGTTTCAGATGTTAGATGTTGTATCTGAGCTCTGCAGGATAGTGCTTGAAGATCTCCGCTTTACACTTCAGGCCACAATTGATGGTGTTAACAAACCAATCAGCGCTTTATTAATAGTTAGTGAGGTAGAAGGTGGGTTTAGGTTTTGGGTAAGGTTAGGGATCCACAATAAGATCATACTGTATGACTACTAATGAGCAGTTCATATGTTCACATTCCACAGATAATAAGCCGGTAGTTAATAGTATGAATTGTGAGCTAAACTAAAGTGTTCCCGATCTCCTGCCATAAAGGGCTTTTCCTGCACACTTTCCCCTGCTGTTTCTGTGCTGTACTGATCAGCCATTCCTCTGATCTGAGTCTGTTTTCACTGAAGCGCAGTCATCATCATGTTGTGTTGGCCTCATAGATGCTGCTGATCAACACATTTGGGTTCTAGAATTGATATTTCTCGAGTTCTCCTGCTCATTCAGTCATGATAGATGATGGTAAATGAACTTGTCTTGCTGTCCTCAAAGTCTGGACTGGAGCTCTGCAGACAAACCCCCGATGAGTGACCTTCTGAAGACTGAGTGATGAGGAGGAGGATAAGGGGAGCTGCTGGAGGTGGGAATAACAGTCAGCTGACACAGTGCAGTTTATACTGCTGCTTATATAGTCATGTGATGATGATTGACACACCTAAATTATTAAGCTCCTCCCACACCTACACTGTCAGCTTCATTCAGTGATTCTGATGATGAGTTGATTCAGCCCTGATCTGCTCTAATAGTGCTGAGTTTCTCTTATGTCTTTGTTCTAGAAGTGCTCATTGATCTGTGTTTGCTGATATATTTATCTCTGTCTGATCTTTTAACTCATTTAACACATCCAGACAGTTTCTGTTCAGATATAAAGGAAATGAATGTATGAAGTGCTGCTTCAGGAGTTTATTTAAATGAAGAATGAGTAATTTCTGCTGTGTTGAGTCCAGTGTGTGCAGCGCTGAACTTTAATCTCCTCTGTTTCAGCTCACAGAAGAGGAGGAGAGCAGAAGCAGAGCCCAGCTGTGTGTCTCTGAAGAGTGACCGGTCTATGGATGACCCAAAAACTAATTTTTGGAGTGAACACACACCACCTGTTATTGTCGTCAGGTAGATCATCTGCACACACACCTGACTATACTGCAGCATTTATATGATCATGTGTTTTCTAGAAGAGATCAGACATTATTAGACTTTATTCTCTCAGTCCACTGAAGACATTCTCCTCAACACAAGAGACTTTTACACTCAGTGTCAGCTCATGCTCATTTGATCAACAGTAGAGGATTATTAGAGCGTTAGTTCAGCGCTGCTTTCACACAATCATCACTGTTAAAGCGCTGCAGAAATACAGATGAGTCAGTAGAGGAAGGACACTTGTGTTATGACATGAGTTCTGGACAGTCAGATGTCTGAAGTGGAGGATGTAGATGAAGTGATGCAGTGTTTATATTCTGATACACACACAACTACTGGACAATGATGAGGAGTGGACATTACTGATTGATTACAGTGAGCGATAATAGACACATGATCGAACACTAAATGATCGAACACTAAATAATGATTTTTGATCAGCTCACAAGTCTTCCATCAAGAAAAAAAATGCTAATAATGATGAATATTACAGAATATCTCCTATCAGAATGACCAGCTCGGACCAATCAGTATCAGTCTTGTAATAAAAGTTGATAATAACTTTAACTGGTAAGATCTAAGAGATCAACCTGCTCAGCTCTGTACAAAATATATAGCCACTGGCAAGAATATTCAACACTACTACTACTTATAAGTAATAACAGAGTGTTTAACAGGTGAAACGCACATCGAGAGAAACACACACTCTGCTTTGCTACAGGATCTTTACACTCACACTTATTGACTCTTTGTGTTGTTGTTGTTTCTGCAGTGTGGATGGAGATGATCAGACTGGAGACCTGCAGCAGGATTCACTCCAACCAGAACATGATGAACTTCAGAGAGTCAAAGAGCAGCACAAAACCAGCATGAAGAACAAGTATGAGAGATTATTTGAGGGAATCAACCATGGAGAGACTCAAACCCTCCTGAACAGCATCTACACACAGCTCTACATCATAGAAGGAGAGAGTGAAGGAGTGAATGAAGAACATGAGGTTTTACAGATGGAGAAAAGAGCCAGAACAAAACCCTCACAACACACTCCAGTCTACTGCAATGACATCTTTAAAGCCTCAGCTGGAGCAGGACATGAGGAGAAGATCAAGAAGGAGAAAGCCCAGATCAAGACTGTTCTCACTAAAGGCATCGCTGGAATCGGGAAAACCGTCTCTGTGCAGAAGTTCATTGTGGACTGGGCCGAGGGAAAAGACCATCAGGATGTAGATTTCATGTTTGTGCTTCCATTTCGAGAGCTGAACTTGATCAGAGATCATCAGTACAGTCTTCACAGACTTCTGCTGGACTTTCATCCTGAACTTGAAGATCTGGAGCCCAAGATTTATGAGCAGTGTAGAGTTGTGTTCATCTTTGATGGTCTGGATGAAAGCAGAATCACACTCAACTTTTCAGATGAGGAGAAAGTTTGTGCTGTGACTGAATCTTCATCAGTGGCTGTGTTGATGCGGAGCCTCCTGAAAGGAGATCTGCTTCCCTCTGCTGTCATCTGGATCACCTCCAGACCAGCAGCGGCCCATCAGATCCCCTCCAGACACATCAAGCGTCTGACAGAGATTCAGGGATTCACTGAGCCTCAGAAGGAGGAATATTTCAGGAAGAGAATCAGCGACGAGCATCAAGCCAGCAGAATCATCTCCCACATCAGAAGAGCAAGAAGCCTCCAGATCATGTGCCACATACCCGTCTTCTGCTGGATCTCCTCCACTGTGCTTCAGAAGCTCCTGGAAGAAGATGTGAGTGCAGAAATCCCTCAAACTCTGACTGAAATGTACATCCACTTCCTGCTGATTCAGATCAACATGAGGAAGCAGAAGTATGAAGAGAGAGATCCAGAGAAACTCCTGCAGTCCAACAGAGGAGTGATCCTCAAACTTGCTGAAGTGGCTTTCAGACAGCTGATGAAGGGCAATGTGATGTTCTATGAGGAGGACCTGATTGAGAGCGGCATAGACGTCACTGACGCCTCGGTGTATTCTGGGATCTGCACTGAGATCTTCAAGGAGGAATCTGTGATTCATCAGAGGAAAGTCTACAGCTTCATCCATCTCAGCTTTCAGGAGTTTCTGGCTGCTTTATTTGTGTTTTACTGCCATTTAACAGAGAACAGAGAACCGCTGAGGGAGATTTATGATGAAGAATATTCAGATGATGAAGAATATGAATATTCATATGATCAATATCTACAGTCCAGCTCTGAGAAGTCTCTGTATGATCTGCTCAGTTCAGCAGTAGATAAAGCTGTCAGGAGTAGTAATGGTCATCTGGATCTGTTCCTGCGGTTCCTGCTGGGCGTCTCACTGGAGTCCAATCAGAGACTCTTCCAGGATCTGCTGACACACACAGAGGAGAGCTCAGAGAACATCAGAGAAATCACACAGGACATTAAAGACAAGATCAAGAGAGATAACCGTCTCTCAGCTGAAAGATCCATCAATCTGTTCCTCTGTCTGCTGGAGAGTAAAGATCAGACTCTGGCCAGAGAGATTCAGGAGTTTGTGAAATCAGACAAACACTCAGAGGAGAGACTCTCTCCTGCTCACTGCTCAACAATCTCCTACATGATTGAGATGTCAGAGGAGCGGCTGGATGAGTTAGACTTTAATAAATTCAACACATCAGCTGAGGGAAGACGGAGACTGACAGCAGCTGTGAGAAACTGCAGAAGAGCTCTGTGAGTATTCATTGATTGATCACAGAAGACACACATCAGTCTGCACTGAAGACTCAGATCAGTTTAGTGAATCACTGCCCTGCTTTAACAGAAAATCTTTAGCTGGCCATATCGTCCCCCTGTGAGATCGCTGATACACCATATTACTGCATGGGGACGCGGCGGCAGTGTTCTGTTTCCTTATTTGCTCATTTATTTCAGCATTTCTAAACGTATTTAACAAACTTTTCTTGACTTTTTACTCACACAAACAACATTTGTACTTATTTAATAATCTACTTCATTTGCTTTACAGTTTATCCTGGAAAATAACTCAAATCCCTGTAAATCCCTGTGCTCCTGCAGCTGAATAGGACATTTGTTGATGTGTATTTGCTCAAATCTAACACAGTGTTGCTCTTGGATAATTGTGTTTGTTTTCTGATCAGAGAAATAGTGTAATTTTAGACACAGTATTGCCGTCTCGCCGCAGACATGCCTCTAATATTACATTTACTGTAGGCCTAAACACTAAACTTTACACTGAGCTCAGTAAAATGCTCTCTGATTAGTTATTAATAATCTGTTCAATAATTCAGTACAGTCATATGAATGGGGAAATACAGGTTTAGTTTAATGTAGATTCAATCAATAAAAAAATAAAAAGATATTTCTAAATGAATTAAACAGGCTTGTTCTGAGGCATGAGGGTGGTATGAGGGCCCGATGTCCACAGGTAAGGGTTGCAGCCCAACACCATGGTACAACACCATGAGGTAGCCTGACTGCCATTAGGTACTGAGATGAGATCCTCAGACCCTTGTGAGACCATGTACGGTCTGGTTGACCCTGGATTCCTCCTAATGCAAGACAATGCTGGACCTCATGTGTCTGGAGTGTGTCAGCAATTCCTGCAGTTCACTACAGCTTTGAGTGTGACTCCTAATCCAGTCCTCCATGGGTTAATACATTTGATTTCCAGTGATCATGTCTGTGTGATTTTGTTGTCAGCACATTCAACTGTGTAAAGAACAAAGTATTTAATAAGAATATTTCATTCAGATCTAGGATGTGTTATTTTAGTGTTCCCTTTATTGTTTGAGCAGTATATATATATATATATAGTTTATTTCCAGTGTTGCTTTTATCACTGTAGACTGAACTCATGAACACTCGACACTGCTCATTTCTCACTGCTGATTGTGTTGCTGTTTGTCCTCTACACAGGCTACAGGGCTGTAATCTCACTGTTCAGTGCTGTGAGAGTTTGTCTTCAGCTCTACAATCCTCAAACTGTGTGCTGAGAGAGCTGGACCTGAGTAACAATGACCTGCAGGATTCAGGAGTGAAGCTTCTCTCTGATGGACTGAAGAGTCAACACTGTAAACTGGAGACACTGAGGTAAATGATTCTCCACTCTACAACATTAAAAGTGTTTTGATTGAGATGGAAATGTCCAGATATATTTAAGAGCATTAGTGGAGAAACTGCAAAATGCTGCTTCTCAAATGAAAGTTGCTCTTTTTCTTAATCAGTTCAGGAAATCAGTGTATTTTAATGATTATTTTATTTAATTACCTCTAAATCTTTATTTATATTTTATATTTTTAATGATCATATTTATAGTTTATTTTTAAATTGGTTTATTGGAAAGATATATTTAGGAATTTGTCAGATGTTTTGGTCATTCTGACAAAAAAAAAAAAAAATTAAAAGAGAAGCAATGTGGATGAGGTCTGATGAGGTTTCTGGACCCGGCAGCAGGTTTGACAGGCTCTGGTCATTTGCATTTTGCAGGTTCATAAATATATAAAGTCTCGTGTTCCTCTTATCTAAACTAACATTTTGCATTTATTTACATTAAACATGTTCAGGAATATATTGGATGACATTTAATATTCAGTTTTATTAAATAACAATAGTCAATAATTCTAATTTACACAAATTCCAATAGTTTTGTTATATTATTAAACTCATAGTTTGTTTTTACATCAGATGAATGACTGAAATCACACTGTTAATGTAATCTGTGTTCTTCTTTCTCAGATTGGCCGCATGTAATCTCACTGTTCAGTGCTGTGAGAGTTTGTCTTCAGCTCTACAATCCTCAAACTGTGTGCTGAGAGAGCTGGACCTGAGTAACAATGACCTGCAGGATTCAGGAGTGAAGAAGCTCTCTGATGGACTGAAGAGTCAACACTGTAAACTGGACACACTGAGGTCTGAGTTTAAACACCTGTCTGATGTAACAAAACAAAAAAAATCAATCAATCAGATCACATTAACAGTGTGTTTTTAGTAATGTGTGTTCTTCTTGCTCAGATTGGTCATGTGTAATCTCACTGTTCAGTGCTGTGAGAGTTTGTCTTCAGCTCTACAATCCTCAAACTGTGTGCTGAGAGAGCTGGAGCTGAATAACAATGACCTGCAGGATTCAGGAGTGAAGCTTCTCTCTGATGGACTGAAGAGTCAACACTGTAAACTGGACACACTGAGGTAAATGATTCTCCACTCTACAATAACTACAGTCAGACAGTTTCATATTAGAGCTCTTCATGCTTGAACATGTTAACCCTGGGTGATACTAAACCCCAGATGACAGGAATTCTGGTTTATCAGTGATTGTGTTTCACACTGCTCATACTATACCTGTAGTTAACCCTCAGGGGTCTGAGGTGATTTTGGCCCCTGAGATGTTTTGACATGCCCTGACATCTGTTTTGTAGAAATAAATATTATGTGTGGTTAGTGGGTTTTAGAGAAACAAATGTAGCTGAAATACGAATCTAAAACCAGACTGAATGTGCCTGAACAAGAGTTTAGAGTAAGCAGTCTTGTAGACTAGAATATTTACTGCACAATTATGTGAAATTATTCTGTTCTCTCATTCAGAGAAAACATTACAATGATCTACATTTTGTTAAGTGTGTTTTGGGTGATCTCAGCTGTATGTGTGAGTGACAATGCTCATGAATAATTCACACCTGAGAGACAACAGACACTCCCCCACTCACCCATCAAGGGCAGTGTACAGCAATGTCCATCTGCAGAAGCTAGCCCAAACTCAATGCTTGTTGTGTTACTGCTGTGTGACCATGTAAACACTCTGGGTGAACAATATACAGTGCTCAGCATATATAAGTACAGCCCTCACTAATCTCTCTTTTACATTCATAGTTTAATAGGAAGCTCTACAGTATTATATTTGTGCATATACAATAGATTAGCCAAATCTGGAGCTCATCTAACAAAATAACTCATGATAACGGTCCAAAAACTACTACAGACAAATGTATGTGTTATAGAAAAATATTAAATACAAAATTAAACAGAGGAAAAATCAAGAGAAGCAAAACAATAAAAAAGGTGAAATTTTGTAGGGTTTTTGCAATATTTATTTTAATTGTATTATGTTATATATTATTATTATTATTATGTTATTATATTGTATTATCTTTCAATTTCGAAATGTGTTTTGCTGACTATATGATTGTCATAAATAAATCAGTTTAATAAATGTGTTCTGTTTAAATGCAGCAGAATACACTGCCTATATTGACTGAGAAATGGAGGAAAGTCTTGGTTTTCAGAATGGGCTGTCCTCCATTATGCTGAGCGCTGTATGTGACTTATACAGCCGCACATATAATATATATTTGAAATGGTGTAAAACGTGTTCGCCAAACTCTCTTGTGCATTAATCCAGCATTTAATAATCATTTCTGAATGAGTCTGAGACACTGAAGTAGAGGAATGACAAACGCTTTAAACACAAGAATAAATCAGATTTAAACATGAAAAACAATTACTGTAAATCTAAATCATATTTGAAGAGCTTTAATATAGATTTCACTAATAGTTGCAGTCTCAGTTCACTGTTTGAAAATTTACCAGGTTGTGTCTGTCTGTGGGTGTCGACATTCAACATTTCTGTGTGAAAGTGAAGCGCAGCGAGAACACAAATAAACATTATAGCAGTGTTAATCCTGTTTCAGAGCAGAACAGTGGATCTGGAGGTGTGAAAGCAGCAGAGTTAAACGCTAAAGTCAAGCTGTTTTGTGTCCTGCTGAAGGTTTGAGCTGCTCTCATGTTTGTGCAGTTTCAGTTTCTTGAAAACAAATAAAAGTCTCATGATAAAGTGTGTGAAATAATCCTGATTACTCGCTCATCTAAAACAATATCTGCTAAAGGCTGAATGTGAAGGAGAGTCAGCAGTCATGAATATTGATCAGCTGTTTCTCTCCTGACAGAATAAAAGTCCCCTAATGGAGCATCAGTGTGAACGTGACTGTGGGTCAGGTGATGAACACATGAAGAGAGCGGCTTTGTGTTTGTCTGAGCTCATTTTGTTTTAGTCCACAACAGAATCACAATATAAATGATGAAATCAGCTCATTTCCTGTTGTGTTTTATACATGACTTTAAGAGGATCTTCTGAGCTCAAGTGTGTCTTCTTCCTCCTCACAGCAGACTTTACAGCTTGATGTGGTGTATTATGAACAATGTCTTTGCTCTGTACACGTCTACAGATGATGTCGAGTCCTTGTTGAATGTGTGAGTGTGTGTGTGTGTTTGCTGATGTGATCAATAAGGAGAGCTGATCA